CCACTTATATTCCCTTTTTCGTAGTGCTTTAAAATTATTTTAAAACACGTTTGGAATAAAAAAAACAACATTCCAGTTGACCACCACCCTAAAACATTTAATATGCTTCGAAAACTGTAAGCATAGACCCAAGTGATAAAAGAACATAAGCAGAAACAACTGTGGCAAGGAGGGAGTGGGGGCTCCCGCTGACGTGGAGACGGGCAAACCGCGTCTTCAGTCCTGCTGGTGTTTATGGCACAGCCTGTCAAACGTCAACCTTTGAAAGTCAACTCCAGCTTTGAAAAGGCGTAAGCATGCCAGGGCTGGATGGGCACGTGGGACTTCCTCTACGATCCACTCAATGTTTTTATGAATCTAAAATGGTAGTAAAAAACATGAAGTCTACGTGTTAATTTTTGAAAACGATGCGGGAATGTCAAAGGGAGACAGGCTGTGGAGGGTCGAAGCTGGAACAGTGTGAGCAAGAAAACAAGTCACGTAGTGTCGGATTGTAACCCAAAGTACAACGTGAATATCCCTGAGTACCTACAGAGTGAAGTCCATTATTAAGCAAAGAGGGGAGGATAAACACATCTTGCATGGAGAGCAGGTTCATACTTACCTAGATACTTCATACGTGGGGATGCAGAGCCTAGCTCTCCGTGCCTTTAGCATGTGGGGGCTGCACAGCCTGGAAAGGGAGAGAAAACGCGTGGCTTGACCAACACTGGCTCAGGCAGGTGATCAAGGTCGACAACAACAGAGAAGTCGCACTTCTCCTCCATTAATGACCAGCCCTTAATGTAAGAGTCTTGGCAGAACTGTGTGTCCAACTTACATCATAGTTTACAACTTGAAGTTCGGAGTCTGGTCCTCAGTTTTGCTACGTTGCCAGCGCAATAATAAGATGTTCCTCGGGGCACCTGGCTGGCTTAGGCGGTAGAGCAGGTGACTCTTGGTGTCGGGGTTGTGGGTTCATGCTCCGTGTTGGGTGTAGAGATTATTTAAAAATAAGTAAGTAAAACAAATCTTAAAAAAAAATAAGAGATTCCTCTGAAGGCTGCTGTTGGAGCACTCTGGTTCCGTGACTGCACCTTAAGGTATACCCAAGCTTTCCAAATATACTCCAGTCCACCCACACTGCGGTCTTGGTGGCTGTCCTTGCTGCCCTGACATCTGACTACGGCAGCTACTTAATTCCCCAGGGTCTTGCTATCAGCCGGTGCTGATAAAAGCTCGGGTTGGTGCCTCCACACGTGATGGGTTCCACCTTCAAAAGGATCCTAACATATCTGAGCTCAGACATGAGCAGCTCTATCCTGGAACCCCAGCTGAGGATCTCGGCCCTGCGATCATCCCTTACTAGCAAGGACTGGAGAGCAGGGGCCAGTCTGCAAGACAGAAGCCACGCCAGCAATGCAGGGGCCTTAATACAGGGAACTGGTCACGCAGGCGGTTGCAGCAGGAGGTGAGGAACTCGGATTAGCAAGTGCAGAAAGTGGCTACTTGGCATAGGGCTGAAGAGACGGCGAGAAGAGCTGATTTACCGTATGCCATGTTCTGGAATCTTCCCGTGGGGGTGAGATCTGGGAGGAGAGCTGCACAGGGGAGATTGGGACCATGAAAGAAGGGGCAGGCTGGTAGCAGGTGCAGCTGTAGAGGACGTTTGGCTGCTGGCATGGAGAAGGCGAGGGCCGGGTGCCACAGGGTGATCGCTGCCGTCGTCTCCTTCTGACCTCCACTTCTCTACCAGTGACTCCTTTGGCTGAACCTAGCAGGGGGGCCAGCTGTCCCGGGGGCTTGCATTGCAGTGTTGTCCAGATGTAGGGCAGATCGGGGCAGGGCAGGGCAGACAGGGAAAGGCAGGCCCGTCCTCCACGTGGCCACGCTCGAACCCTCCAGGCAAACACCGGGCACACTAGTGCTCTCTGCTGTGTGACAAACCATCCCCAAACGTAAGGGCTGAGAACGATGAGCATTTTATTTGCTAACAATTCCACAATCTGGGTGGATTCTGTTTGCTTTGCACATAGTCTCTGCATTTAGCTGGCTCGACACCAGGGGACCGGGTTCAGCTGGGACACTGGGGTAGCTGGCTGCCCTTATTGCCTGGGGTCTCAGGGTCCTTCCCTTTCCATGTGGCCTACACCTGTGTTCTGTCCTGCAGAGTGGCTGGTCTTCTGACACGGTGGCTCCAGGCTCCCAGGAGTGCAAAGAGGTGCTTGCCAGGCCTTCTGGAGGCTGAGGCTGGGAGCAGGCCCTCACTCCTCCTACCAAGAAAAGCAAACCAGCGGGTCTGTCCAGAGCTGAGGGGAGGGGACTACAAACAGGTGACAATTCTGGGAGGCAAGAAATGTGAACAGGGCCCATGGTTGGTTCCTACACCATAGCATCGGGGACCTGCCTTTAAGGAGTCTAACGTCAGGGCTTAAACACTAAAAGTAGAATTTTTCCGGTTACAAAATCTTGCCAAAAAGATACTTGTGCCAAAAAGTATTTTTTGCCAGCCAAGTTCCCCAGATGGGTTAGGTCGCTTCTCCCTGTCCCGTCCTTAGTGGCGCCTGAGGCACCCGCGGCCTCTTGGTCACATCCAGTGTTTGAGGAAGTCCTGCCCAGGTCGACGCAAAGCTCCCATGTTGGACCCAGCCTGAAGCTCATGGGTTTTCCTCATCCCTGCACAGCCAGGCATCACCAGCCTGAGGCGCCCGAGGGAGACGGTGACATTTGTTCTTCCCTCTTCCTTCACCTCCCTGCTGATTCTAACTCCCTGGATTGGAGTCAGGGCAGAAGGGTCAGGACAAAGGTCAGGCATCTCTTGGTTAGCTCTGCTAACCCTCCGGCACACCCTCTGTCAGGTTGGCCCCGAGTGGCCATCTCCGCACGGGCATCTGAGACCAGTTGTCTGTGAGGCACACACGTGGCTTTCCTTGTGGGTTCCACGCAGGAGGTCTTGACTCTGCAGGGTCCTGGCAGGTCCTGATGTCCCTGAAATAGTCTCGGGACTCCAGAGCGCCCTCCTTCTCCATGGTCAGCTGATCAGCAGGGGGTGGACCTTTAGGGTGGGAGTGAACATGGCCGGAGAGTTAGCATGTCTGCTGGGCCACGTCCTATCAGTCCTGATGCAGCATCTGCCTCCCGTTTTCCGTGGCTTTCTTTAAAATGTGGGGCCCTCGGTTTTGTATCTGAGTTGCCACTTGGTGGGATATCCCTGCCACATGCCTACCACACTGCATTTTAGTTGCTGTGTTTCCATCTTCGTATTGGAAGAGCCAAGGCACCTTCAGGTAAATTTCAGCAATGGGCGTTGAAAGGACACGCTGGCACCGTGTCCACTCTTCTGGGCCACGCACTGTGCAGTCTCCTTCCCTCACTGTGCCTCGCACGGTCTTGGTGCTGTGTGATGTTGTTGTCACGACTGCGATGGGGGCTCTGTTACCTCAGAAACCCCGCATGCATAGCGGATCGCTGGGAGGAAGGACACTGGCGCCACCCACCACATCTGACGTCTGACGCTGCAGCTCTGTTCTGGGCGTGAGGTGCTGGCCTTGCAGTCGCCTCTCTCAGACACCTGCTTGACGATTGTCCCGGGGCTCTTCTGGTTTTCCTGTTCCTAGAATTCACGTGGTGCAAGGTGGGTATTAAATGCATGGTCCGCCAAGTAGGTCCCTTTAGGGTCCGGCCCTCCTTCGGGACACCTCATTCAGGTGCCATCCTCAGTGGGAAGCCTCAGGGGGTCCCGTTTGTAAGGCCTGCTGTCTTCCTCCACCCTGGGAAGGAAGGGGTGGAATTTTCTCTTGTGCTCAGCTCACTTGATTGTTGTTAGGTGCCTGGTTTTCTTCGGTATAGTGCAGCCCATCTGGGGATATAAGCTCTTTTCATCTTAATTCCAGATTCTCAGGAAGGAAATAGGTTGGTCCGCAGTGGAGTAAGTGTTGCCTGTGTCTAACTGGCTGCAGTCACGGGAACCGCAAAGCTCCTGGCTGCCAGCATCTCACATCTTTGACCAGTTGGTGTGTGGACTGGCTCATTTGTTCTCAGGTGGGGCATTTCTCAGTGCCTGCAGCCTCCCCCCTGCACTTGTGTGCAGGTGTGTATAACAGAGTTTCAAATGCCTTGTGATGGCCCGCTGATCTGCCTTGTTCTCTTCGGGCCCTTCCCCCCTCAGTCTTCATAGGCCTGACTTAGTCTTCAGATGACTAGTTACTCTGGACGTGTGGGGAGGGGAGCCTGGGGTTAGGGATGGTGAATAGTCACATGCTATCTATGAAAACCTAGAAAGTGTACCGGGTGTCAATGTCAACCAAGTGTCAAAACCCATAAAATCTTGTACTCCTTTAAGCAGACTTCTTCCACCAAAAGTTAGCTTGAGCCAATGATGTTTTAAAAAAAAAAAGTCTACTGGGGCGCCTAGAGGGCTCAGTCGGTTAAGCGTCTGACTGTCTCAGGTCATGATCTCACAGTTCATGGGTTCGAGCCCCGTGTTGGGCTCTGTGCTCACAGCCTGGAGCCTGTTCGGAGTCTGTCTCCCTCTCTCTCTGCCCCTCCCTTGCTCGCACTCGTTTTCTGTCTCTCAAGAATAAATAAACATTAAAACTTTCTTAAAATTATGGATTATAAAGATGTTATTGAGCACAGAGCAAATCAGTGGCCTTCCTGACCTCAGGGGTGTTGGGGGACCTGGGCCACAGGACCCCGTGTCGGGGACCGTGCGGTCTGAGCAGCTGGAGCAGCTGGTGCCGGAACCCTTCACGAGCGGTAGCTGCGGTCCGGGGACCGCGCGCCACGGAGCGGGGAACTCTGAGGCCGGCGCACCAGCGCCCCGAGCGGCCGGAAGAAGCGGGGCATTGTGGGAAGGGCCCGCGGTTTCGGCGGGTTCCGTTAAAATGGCGGCCTGGTCGCCGGCGGTGCCCGAGAGGCCGTAGCCCGTCGGGGACGACCGGAGCCTGCGTGGCGTGGGGCGTGGGGCGGGCGAGAGCCGGGGGGCTCTGCGGGGCCCCCGCGGGCGGTCCCAGGCGAGGATGGCGACCCCGGACCAGAAGTCGCCGAACGTCCTGCTGCAGAACCTGTGCTGCCGGATCCTGGGCAGGAGCGAAGGTAGCGGGGCTGGGTCGGCGGCTCGGGGCCGAGGCGCGTTCCGGAGGCCGCCCGTCAGCCTGGGATACGGAGGCCTCGCATGGGCGGCGGGATTGGGGAGGGGCGCGTCCCCGGGGCGGGGCGGCCTGCGGAGGGCTTGCAGCCCCGGGGGCGGAGGCAGGGAGGCCGGACCCCGGCGGGGCTGAGTCACCGCTCCGGGCGCAGCGGGCCCGGGGGGCGAAGCCGGGCACGGCGGCTCGCGAGCGCGTCCACCTTGTTCAAAGTCACCGGGGAGGCAGGGCAGCGGTGGCCTGGGCCGGGTGGCCGGGAGCTGGCGAGCAGCAGCGTGTTCTCTGCCCCCCCGGGAAGGTCGAGCGGTCGGAGTGTGCTGCGAAGCGGGGGTGCGTGACTGTTACCTCCCTGGTTTTCTTCCAAGGGCTGAGGTTGGACTTGGTACGAAGCTGTCCTGGAGAGGCCGCCCTGCGGATGCCGATACCCAAGCCCAGCCCTGCGGGGTGTGGAGCCATTGCGGCCGCGGTGTTTTACGATTTGACATGGCTTGCCCTCTTGGTGTTTGTTTTGGCGGGACGCGAAGGGGATGCGTGGAGTCCACCCTGGAGGGATTTTCTGGGTAACTGAAGACACGGGGTTGCTTATGCCTTCAGCGCCGTGCGGTGGACGAGAAATCGTGCAGTTTTTGCTGGAAGACTTTACACAAAATTACTTTGAAAATATAATGACCAAATTTTCACTTTTCGCGATTCATGACAATTAGGTACATACTTGAGTTGATGTTCTATGATAGCTGTAGGGGTAAAAGCTGGATTTTTTTTTTTCCCGTCAGCCTATTCAATGACACCAACCTCACACAGTTCTTGGGACATTTTATAAAGTTTAAGTCTGTCCCTTTGGGCTCCCCAACCCTAGGCACTATGCTGGGTGCTTGTGTGATGCGGAGATGCACAGACAGTCATTCCACTGGTAGATGTACATTCTAGGGGAGGAGTTGTGGTAAAATAGGTAATTGTAGGTTAGGGATAAATGCTGAAATGGAGATAGAGCGGGGTGCTGGGATTTTGAGGGAAGAAGTGAGGGAAAGCCTCTGCGGAGATGGTTCGATGGACTGGAGTGAGGGTGGGGGGGCCCAGGAGCACCTGGAGAGGGTTCCCCAGAGAGAGGACAGGTGCACAGGTTGCGAGCCTGGCTTGTTGTTTTCAGGTTTTGTCTCCAGCTTTCCTGTACGTGCACCTCAAGCACCCCGAGTTACCTTTCTGATTCCATGTTCCTGATCCTAGGAAAAGCCAGAGGGCTGAGATTGCTGGTTACCACGCACTCACTCTAACGCCAGCGGCCTCACTGTGCTGGCGGGTCCTCGGTTTTCCTTCCAGGATAACCCACACAGTTGTCCGTTCCCCCCATGCTCATACCTGGACTTTGAAGGCCACTCATTGTGAGGTAGCATGATGTTTCTCGATAAAAAAAAAAAAAATTCTTTTTTAAAATTTGAGGCTCCTTTTGATTGTTTCACCCTTCAAGGAGATTAAAGCACTTATCTTCAGCAGAGTTCTGCCTCCTCCTGTCTCTATTTAGAACCGTGTTTAAATATGAGAGTAAATATGTTCTGTGCGAGATCCTGAGGGGATCCTCTCTGAACCAAATGGATCATAAAATCCATCAAAGATGATTCCGTTAGCTCTGTTCTGGACCGCGAGGATTGCTAAACCATTATATTCGTAATTCCAAATACATGCTATTTACTGAAGAATTTATAAGTATTTAATAGCTTGCCTTGTTCTGATTTGTTCTACCTTACTGAACAAAAGCAATATTAATTGCTTCCTTTACAGTGTTTGACATTTAAAAAAATCTTTTCGTTAGTGGGTATTTTATCTGGTAACTAAGTAGAGCATTTGATTAATTCTTTTTCTAAGGTCATGTTATAAACAATTGGCCTTGTATTATTATAATATTGCTTTTCCAAGACTATGATATTGAGGAATAATTGATACCTGTTACTTTTATTTTATAATTTTTTTTAATGTTTATTTCTGAAGGAGAGAGAGAGAGACAGAGCGTGAGTGGGAGAAGGACAGAGAGAGAGAGAGAGACACACACACACACACACACACACACACACACACACACACACACACACAGAATCTGAAGCAGGCTCCAGGCTCTGAGCTGTCAGCACAGAGCCCTACGCGGGGCTGGAACTCACAAACTGCGAGATCATGACCTGAGCCCAAGTTAGATGCTTAACTGACTGAGCCACCCAGGCGCCCCCTGGTGCCTGATATGTTTATAAAGTTAATATAAGCATTATTTCTCACCTTTTCCAGCCTTCGAATTTGCTTGAAACACACACATACTGCCAGCCAGTGTGTTCTGGATGTTTCAGAAGCAACCTTCCTTTTCATACTTTGTAATCCTTTTCCTAACTAGAAGATAACAAGCACAGTGGGTTTTATTAGGTGAGTATTTGAACACAAATGCTCAGGGGTGGCTCCAGTACACTGTGCACTGAGGTGAGATGACTATCTTCTGCTGTGACAGTGCTGTGAGTGTGCTCCGAGCCATGGCGCAGGCGGACGGGGTGCCGTCCTGGTGACTCGTGGGCCTCACGCGGTATTGCTGTTGGTGTCATGATTTTCCGAAGTGGTGAAGAGCCCTTGATGAAGTTCCAGATGAATAAATTATGGTCTTCCTTGATTATATACTTGGGAAAATCAATGTATATTAAATATATGTTAAAAGTTACATTAAGTGTATGTTGAAATGTGCACTAAATGTCTACTGACATAGAAATTCCAGTGTTTTAGGCTTCATTGGAAAGTTGTGCTTAGTGGGCTTACTGTTATTTTAAAATGATCTAAAATTTAAAAATGATCTCGGTTTAAATTCCCAATCCAGTAAATATTGATATAACCTACACGAATAAGTAAATCCTCTTAGGGATCCTCAATCATCAGCATGGAAGGGGGCTCTGAGACTGAAAAGTCTGAGAGCCCCAAGTCTAGAGCAGCATGTCTTGTTTCTGTTTTGGAGCATAGCCTTGCATTCCGTGGGAGCTGCGCGTGGAGCGTGGCCACACGAGAACCTGGTACCAGGGTTGCTGTGGCGGGACTGGTGGTGTGGCAGTGGTCGAAGGGGGGGCCTTTTACGGTAGCTAAGCCTTCACACCTTGTCGCCGTGCATCTCTCCATGTGATACCTCCTCGGAATTGATGTCGTGGGCACCGTCTCCAGATAGTGTGACTCTGTAGGTCCGTGTGGGAGCGTGGTGTCTCAAGCGCAGAGTCCCTGTGGCCTGTGGCCTGTGTCTGGAGGGGCAAAGAATTACAGGTTTACATGCTTGCTCTGTGTTGGCCGACGTGCCGTCCTGTCCCATAGGACAGCAGTGTCGTGTGTGCATCGCTTCCAAACCGCGCACCTCCACCCCGCTCACTTTCCGAATCCCAGGAGAGCACGCAGCCGCAGGCTTTGGATTCACTTTTGTCTGTGCATCTTTATGTTCATTTTCTACCTGAGTGCTCGTGGAACCCTTTCGGGGTCTAGAAGGTAACTGTCACTTACGAACTCTTGGGCCCACATTGGAGTGCTCTTTGGAGCCTTCACGTTGGCATTGAGGCCATGTGGTCCCGCTGTCTCCCTTGTCCTGAACGCGAACCTCTTCTGTGCTGCAGCCACGGGTCCTTTCTAGAGGGGACATCTGATCACGCCAGGTGAAGAGAGTTTGTTTCCTACGTGTAATCTACAGGATGAAGGCCACATTATCTTGCTGAAAAGTTAAAAGCCGGGTGCTTTGAGTTGTGGTTTTAATGGCTATGGCAGACAGATCATGCATTGAAATGACATTTTCAGATTAATACTAATAAAAATACCTAACGTTTTTCAACAACTTACTCTCTGCCACACTCTGCATACACTGTGAACTGGTGTATTTAACTTCCAATATTGCTGGATGGTTGGAATACTTCTCACTAACCTCGTTTTGTAGATGAGGACATGCACACGGAGAGATAAAGTAGTTTGCTCACCGTCACCAAGCTGGCGAATTGCAGGGCCAGGATCGGAACCCACATCTCTGGTTCCAGAACCTGATGTCTTGAATTAATTCCTTCCTGCTCTTCTGTGTGGAATCTGGCACCTTCCATCTCTGTGCTGAGTGCAGGAACCTGAGCGCCTGCCCGGCCTGTGGAACGGCCTCTTGCCTCTGTCCTCACCTGTGTGTTCTCTGCACGGCTTGTTTGGAGAGTGTGCCTGGGTACAGCGGCTGCTTGGGCAGTGTGTCCTTGAATTCACTGGTGCCTCCTTCTCAGGGGGATACTCTCAGGGGCTGGGCAGAGGAACACTGCCTTCCTGCCTTGGCTCCTGATACCCAGAGCGGATTGGACGTGAGGACGTAGCACATTCCTTTGGTGTTTGCTGGTGAAAACAATGCAATACTCTAATTTTTCATCTTGGACCTAGCCAGTCATCAAAGAGCTTCAGCCTGGACCTCCTCCCCTGGGACTCTGGACGGAACACGGCTTGGATTTTGGAACTAGCGACACTGGCATCCTTTGAGGGACCGTGGACACAGTAGCCCTTGAATCTCCTCGTGTCCTTTCTCGTGGCGGGTTCCTACATGTCAGAGGGCTGCTTCCTCAGAGAGGCCTTCCCTGACCAGCCCACGTCGCGAGGTCCTCCCTGTTGGCCGGCACAGCGTCTCGCTCATTTTCTTAGGAGCTCTTATCGCAGACGGATTGCCTGTGGAGTTACTTGCCTCGTGTTTCGTGTTGTCACTCAGCTGCCTGGTGAACCACTGTTTTCTGTCCCGTCTTAGGGCCCGTGGTGTTTGGCGCTTAGGAGTTTTCTTTGAATTACTGATTGAACTTAGTTTTTACCTTAGAAATGGAATAATGTTGTGGGAGTGTTAAACTGGAAATCTGTAGTGGATATTGTTTGATGGTTAGGTTCACCAAACAAGGAATGATTGTCACTGTGAAGTTAATAGCCTGTATTCTGTGCGTCTACCTTTGAAACTTAGATAGATTTCACCTAAAAATACAGATGGAACTTTCAGATATTTTCTGTCAGCGGGAAAGAGAGACTGCACACTGGTCTGGCTAGCAGGTAGGGAAGTTGAAGGTGGTTGGTGAGGTGGCAGTGAAATGTTACACTTGGCACAGGTGCAGGGCGTGGAGATGGGAGAGGAGAGGATTTCTGGTGTTGAGTTTTGAATTTTCGTTGGAAAAGTGGAAAGTTCATGAAACTTTTGGAGTGGAGATGTTTGTCTCAGGTACTTGAGTATGTTAATGAAGTATTTTTTTTTTTTTGTAGAACTCAGGATCATGGTAATCTAAAAACATTTTCTCAACTAGAACAGTTTTACAGGCACCCTTGCAGGTGAGAAATTTTCAGTGCCACTTTTAAGGTATTAAAATTAATGCTTACCCCTTAGAAAATGTTAAAGGTGTGGAAAAGTATAAAGAAGACAATTAAAACTACTCCCTGATCCTGGGACTCCACAAAAACCCTTCAGATTACTTCTCTTTGCTGTTTCCCTGCCCTGCTTTGTCCGCACTCACCAAGTCCCGAACACATGCCGTGCTGATTTGGTGGTGTTCAGGGAAGACTCTGTAGTCTCTCTCCTGCGTGCATGTTTGGGTGTGCTTGGGAGAGGAGGGCGGTCTGAAGGGGTGACAATTCCACAGAGAACCGGGGGAAGTGATGGGGTGAGGCCTGGGAGGATGCGGGAGAAGAGTGTCAGGGTCCGGGCCACAAGCCGGGGGTGGGGTGGTATGCTCAAGGGTTGGCAGGGTTGGCCAGACCACGGAGCGCGGCTGGCGTGTGGCCAGTGCAGCTGGGAGGGGAGAGGCGGGACGTGGTGCTGGGGCGTGGCCGGGGACCAGGGACCAGGTCGGGCAGGCTGTCCTCATGAGTTTGGATTTGATTCTGGGCCTGACGGGAGGGTCAGGCAGAGCGATGACTTTATTTATGTTCTAAAAAGATCGCTCTGACCGCCATGTGGATAATTTGCTCTAAGGGACAAGAGTAGACACAGGGTGGCCGGCTACTTAGGACACCTACTGCAGGTGGATAGAGCCGTGGAATGGGCGTGTGGGGACGCACCGTGAGAAATGGATTCAACAGCATTTGCTGGCCTGGATAAGTGCTTAAGAGCCTCATCTCCTAACTCATCAATCAGATACAGAAAGTTTGAAGTGATTTTCCTTCTGTCCACTTGGAAGGTGTTCATTCCTTCACTGATGAGAATCTGCCGTTAAACTGATTCTTACTCCTTTGAAGCTCCATCTGGCAGCTCATAGGATCTTCTCTTTGTCTTTTATGTTCTGAAATTCCGCTCTATGTAAATTTTGCTGTCGTGCTCTGAAACTTTGTCTAGGTGTGGGACTCAAAGTTTATACGGATTAACACTTGGCGCTCCATCAATTTGAGGACTAATTATGGGAAAAGTGCCATTCTTCCTCGTGAATTCTAACTTGTGTTTGTTGTGTTGTTGTGTTTATTGACCCCTGACTAGCTCCATCTGGTATCGGGCCTAGTTTTTAAATATTTAATAGTTTTAAAAACATTTCACAACTGCTTTCTCTGTGTTGCTATTTTGCCTCTAGCAGCCGTCCTCCGTTCTAGATTGTTCTGTGTTGCCTTTTTCAGAATATTGTGTAGATGAATCATACCGTGTGTGCTCTGGACACTGGCCGCTTTCACTTTGCTGATGCTTCTGTGATTCACTAGTGGTGCCGCGTGTGTTAGTAGGTGACTCCATTTCACTGCAGAGCTGCGTTCCACTGCACGGACGCCCTGTGGCTTACTTGTCCCTGCACATAGCGGGGGTGTCTGCACGGGTCTTGGGCTCTGGCGGTCACGGGGAGTCCTAGGGAACGCGGCTGCAAACATTCATGTACAGAGGTTTATGTCACCCTAAGTTTCATTTCTCTGGAATAGATACAAGTGGGATTGCTAGGTCACATGAAAAGTGTATGCTTAGCTTTTAAAGAAACTGCCAGAATGTTTCCAGAGTGCCTGTGCCAGCTTCATGCACCGCACCCCCCCCCCCCCCCCCCCCCCCCCCCCCCCCCCCCC